ATTCGAACCTGCGAACCCCGGGTTGCTAGCTCGACTCGCTAACCACCAAGCCTCGCCTCTATTTACCGCTAACCGATTTCTGAATTAGCCAGCTCCAGGAATGCAATGGACCTATACATAGACAAACACAACAGCCAAGGCTCGAAATTAACTTCCGAGGCAGAGATTCGAACCCGCGAGCATTCTAGTCGACGCGCCAACTCACTCGGCAGCGTCCCCTTCGAGACAAGTTTAATCAAAATTCTCCCAAAAGCATGGTGATGGTGCACATCTAACACAAAATTAATATTATGGCATATTTAAAATTCTTCTGCACTCCAAATATTTTGATTAGTAGTTTTCTGAACGATCACCTGTGTGGAGTAAACTCATCCAGTGATTTTGAGAGGCTCGCGTCATTACTTTTGGTCCGACAAATTCTCGCTGTAGCAAAATGCCTTCTATTGGGTACAAACTTTCGTTCTATGATCTAAGATACTTATTATATGTATACGTACATATATACAGGGTGTTCCTTAATGATATGCGAATATTTAAGGATGTGAATCTAAACGAAAAATTAATGTTAGTTTGCTTAATAAACTATGGTCCAAAAATGTTTCCTTACAAAAGCTCGGGGTGTTGAAGTTTTAGGAAAAAAATGAAAATTAATTAATATTTTCAGAACCGCTTCAGATATTTCACTGATATTTAGTACGTAGTGAAAGTTAATAAAGTTGCATATTTTTCAATGCAAAAATAATTTTTAGCTTTAACAGTGGCGTGCGTACGGGTATTGACTTCGATATTTTTTAAGAAAAAAATGTTACGCCAATGGTTTTTTGCCAAATAAAAGTTATTTTTGAATTCCCAGTTCAATTTAAAATAAATGATCTCTCTTGAATTGTTTTCCTTCGATGCGCCATTTATGAGTAAAAAAATAAAAACCGTTCTATTGTCCGAGAAAATTAACGTAATAATTGAAGAATGCAATTTAGCAATAAATATCTAGTTGCTCTGGAATATGTCACTGGCTTTTGACATCTGACAAGTCGCTGTTATTCAAATCTGTTTGCTGTGACATCTTTTTCATTATTTAGTTTTTACAATCTTGTTAATAATGGTGAATTATTCAAATGCAGAAATGGCGGAAATGCATTACGTACGAGGGATGTCTTTTAAGTTGACTCTACACTCCCCACGCAACGTTATCATTAGTTCATAAAAAGTTATGTTCAGCATAAGTTAGCTCCTTTCAATCGAAAGTCAACTACCAACATATATACATATATGGGCGCCCGCAGAGAGTCCCCCTAACGATCCGGTTGGACCTTAAAATTTGTATATTTAGCGTGATTTTGTGTATATTTTTGGAGGTTTTTAGGATTTGACCACCCTCTTCAAAAGCTTTTGGGGGCAGGTACACTTTCACAAAAAAAGGTCTAATAGTGGCATGTCACGCTGGGATAAAGAGCAATGATATGGAAGACGCTCTTGCGAAAGCAGGATCAACGATTTGCTTATCTTTGGATAGAGTCAACCTAAGGTTGTTGGTGGGACTGTTGTCTGGCCATAACACGTTGAGGCGCCACCTGCATGTGATGGCGCTGGCTGAGGATCCCATGTATGGCGCTGCGGGGAAGAGGACGAGAGCTCGGCGTATGTTCTCTGTCGCTATGAGCTCTGAGCTACTACAGGCAGACTATACTGGGGTCCATCACTTTGGATCCGCAAAATGTTAAGGAACTGGGACTAAAAGCTAAACTCAACTTTGCTAGAAGGGCGGACCTTGAGGCTTAGTGAATGCAGGGTGCCTAAGGGCCCGTTTAAGTGGCCTATGCGCCGGCTCCTCATAGAGGCCGGTAAACCTCTAAGTTCATAATTCATTCATTCGTTCATTCTTATACTATTGTTGTTATTTTTTCCCTTTCATCCATATCCCGATCTAGTACAATAATTGAAGCCTATTACGTTTCTGCTTCCAAGCGTTATATTTTGCCTGAACTTCATGAAACAATTGAAGACAGTAAGTGGATAAAGATGTCATGTCACATTTCTTACCAAAGTCATCTTTTTCGATTTTTGGCCCCCTCATATACCTATGTACCTATTAGAAGTGATATATATTGATAATCCTTTGTAAAAAGATAATTTCAGTTGATAAAGTTGGCATGTCAAGTGAATTTGCGATTATTTCAGTTGATAAATTAACTATATCCTAATATGAGACGTAAAACCACTATCAACTAAATAAGGATCGACAGATAAGTTAGTTGCTAGTGACATACCACCCGCAAGGCTGTTTTGCGGGTCTGCTCGGTATCAAGCACGCATCAAGTTGTACTAGCCGCAAGATATCCGTCGTAAAAGACGGTTTCACCTCTTCAACTTACAATCTCAACTCAGGTGTTTCCCAAGGATCGGCTTTGGCTCCAAAATTGTTCCTCTCACATATCAACGACCTCCCTTCCTGTACGATCAATCCGATCCACAGCTTTGCTGATGACATGTAGGGATCCAGAGTGACAAGCCGATCTCTGCCGAAGAGCTAGCAGCGACTTCCTTTCTGACGAGAGACCAAGAGGTTATCACTGCTTGAGGAGGCAACAATTTTGTACTGTTTTATGCTTCCAAAATACAGTACTGTATCTTGACTAACAATAATCGTCCTAGCGCTCATCAGGTTTCGATGGATGAGCGAGTTCTACCAAATAGTGGTTTATTTCGGCTGGTCGGAGTCCACATCTCCGAGGACTTGATCTCACATGAACATATCTCGTCAATAGCAGCAGCTGCTGTTAAAAATCTAGGCTATTAATAATAGTTAAGAAGTATTTTTCTCTACATGACCTCACTCCGTACAAGGCGCAGATAAGACCTAGCTTCGAGTACTACAATATCCATGCTCGATGCTGTTCAGCAGAGGGCTGTCGATCAGTGGATCGATGACTCTTCTCTAACCGACAGTCTCGGGATCCTTTCGCATCAGCGGGCCGACGGCGATCTAGCTCTCTTCTACCGCTACGCCAATGGGATTTACTCCTGAGAGCTCTCCTCCATGATGCCGTCGCGCGATGTGCCTGCCTGGCCTCGCATCCTAACCGTGCCGAACTTCGTACATCCAGAACTGGCCGATACGACCGCTCTTTTATCCGTAGAAGCTGAATTTGCTAAACCTAGGATATCGATATTGTGGAACAATCTACATGAGGAGGCTTTTCCTAGTTCTACTAACCGTTCGAAAATCGGTGTAAAAAAATACACGCCATCCTTTGTAGTTGATTTAAGAAAGAAAAATGCAAAAAACCGGGACCGCGCCGAGTGTCAGCCAACAAGGATAATATTAAAGTTTGGAGGTTTAACTATAAAAAACTACAAAACCTCAAATCTGAAATAAAGCTTCCAGATGAAGAATACTAATTGTATTACGAAAGTATAATAGGTACAGGAGAACTTACCACATCCAAAGAAGAAAAGAATGACAGTTTAAACATGTATCTTCTGATATTGTACATTTTATTAATATTATCTGTTTTAATTAATAAAGCACTTGACACTTCTATCCACGTATCTTGTTATTCTACAAGAGTTTAATTTTCAATGGATAAAGGAGTTATGTACATTTTGTGCAGTTTTTCTAATAAACTAATAATTTTTCAGTCCCCTTAATCTAATACAATAAAAATACCGTACTTCAACATATCGAACAAGTGATTTTAATCAGAATCGTAAAATAATGGAAAAAGTTCCAAATCAAATCACGTTTTCCTAAATAACTCTGAATTTAAATTTTGTGACATAACACCTTTATCCACTTATGTCTTCAATTAACATAATTTTTCATTTAAACTAAACATTCCCAAAGCTGAACTGCCTTTTATCGCAGATGCGTAACTTTATGTGAGCGATTTGGAATTACTCCAATCATAAACAAAAAATACCAAACCTCTCCAAACCTGGAACATGTAACCACAAGGACGTTTTGAAATAACTTGAATAATAAATAAATTCATTATTACTAAACTAAAACCAAAGAGGCCAAAAAAAAACTCGTTGGATCGACCGACCCTTATTGCACATACATAACCGCAATCGGCGGTCGGCCCGACGTGCCACGTTATAATCTGACATATAAATCGCGCTCGGAAAATTAGCACCGCTTCGCCGAAAGGGGGCGTTAGAGGGCACGGACGTGGAGTGTAATAGCGACAACGACCCCCGCGGGGAGCATAACTGGAATTGTACCGCAAGGATATACGCTATGTGCGGCGGCGGCTGTCTGCGGACAAGGGTGGCAACCAAGGGTATTTTGAGGGGATCGGAACGCTTTCACATGAATGTTGTAACTCTTAAGTGTCGTATTTGATTTAAAAACAGACCATCAAAGACAAATCAAATAAAAAATTCTTAAATTATTCTATTTCTTTTTCAATAATTTTATTTTGTGTTTAACTGTATGGTCGGAATTTCTTTTAAGGAATATTCGTGACTTTCGGGTAATGTGTTCTCGTAAAATGGGATTTGTTTTGGATTTCAATACATTCACTTATCACATCCACAGATGGTAGCTAGTTAACGGTTATTTTAAGGACATGTAAGTTCACTTGGAGTCTTTAATGCTTGGTTACACCGCTTTGCTAAGTCTAACTTTAGGATAAGCTAATCCTCATTTTTGTATTCTTGTTGCACCAGATATGTACATAAAACTTAAGTGTGACACAAATAAACAGTTGAGCTGAATCGAAGGATTCTTTCGCGTAAGGTGGATTTTCTAATCTAACAACTCAACTGTTGCGTATTTCAAGTTATTTTTTTTATACTCCAACTACCACGAAGGCCTAAGGCCTAAGCACCCATTGGGTACCGTGGGGCTATAGGGGGATACATGGGAAATAGGGGAGACGCCACAGGGACTCTGGCGAGGGAACACGTGTGCATGCAACATGCACACATTCTGGCTCCGCCTATGAGAACCGCCGGGTGGTACCTTCCGCGTTCGACAGTCAGAGACCATCTACCACCTACGGACAATCACAACATCCATAGCCAAGAGAAAAATTTCTCCTGGGACGGGACTCGAACCCGCACAGCGCACGGCGACTGATCAGGAGACCGAAGAGTCTATTACTGCGGCCACCGCTGCCGCCTAAAATGTTTGAGTGAATTGAATGTTTTGAATATGGATGCAGGCATCGAAAAAATTGATCCAGAATGTTTTAACTGTTGATAGCAGGACACTTCTCCAAATCATCCCCATAGAAACCTTTGTTCATATTGAGGCTAATAATTGATGACAGAGTATAATTCTCCCATATTTTATAAGGGCATGGTATATTATAACTATATACTACATTAACTACCATTAGAATTGCCTTTTGAAATAAAATTTGAAAAATATGACGAATCTTGATAAACATGCAACTACGGATTCACTACTTGACTTGATTTCCAGACTTGACTTGGTTTATCTTAGTACATTCGGAAAGCCGTGGGAGTATAATTATGAAATACAGATAAGAACACAATTATACACTTTTTTTAGATCATCCAATTTTTTTTGTAATTTGGTCTGAGGTATAAAAAATGAAGGTCCGAGCCGAGTCTATCTATCTTCATTAGTTTTAAACATTATACTCTGGCACTATAATTTTTCGTTCGCGATCCCTAGTGGCTGATGCCTCTTGTATCATTTTCATGATCTACTGAATATGCAGGATGTTAATACAGTATCTTACAAAACTTCGTTTCTTATTGGGAAGAATTTAGTTCCGATAGGGCTTCACTTTCTAGATTGATGGTGTCAAATATTTTCAAGATATGGACGTTTCGTTGCAATATCAATAATCCTTTAGCCGATATTGTTGAAATTTGTCGAATTTTGACATGTTATGCTGGAAAAGATGAGATCGAATAACAAAAACGTGCTAATAAAACCCAGGTCTCAACAGAAAAATCTAACATTCTACGTACATGGCCCCGTTTAAAATGTTTCATAAAAAGTGTATTAATTATTTCGATAAACTTGCCAGCGGTATGTCTAAAATTGACAAACATCCACAAATTTTATAAAAACCCGGTGATGAGATATTATGATATTTAGGTACGAAAATAACGAAGTTTCAACAAAAGTTTGATACGTCGCAACCCAAGAACTAGGCATTACTGGACTTATTTTTTCCTTTTTATTATCACTCCAGAAACTTTACTTGGCCAGGTAACTTAACATACACCTTGAATTTGTTTTTCATGTACTGCTATTAAATATGGCAAAACGCATATAAAACAACTGACTTTTATATATGAAAACCCTGCTATCAGTAATGCCAGTCGAAATAGAGAGGGCGTGTTAGCTTCCCTATAGAAGCGCCTATGTTTGCTGGTAAAGAGGAGGGCTGGAGATATGTTGACATTTGGTTCGGAGGGCACTTATTGTCCGACGATTAATGTGACGTTCGTGGATGAGGATTTTAATTGAGGGGGCGCGACATTGTAATTTGTGGTCGATATGGTTGAAGATATACTGTCAGCGCCTAACATAGTAGAACATCCAAATTTAACCGACGCAGAAATGGGTTGCATTATCTACGTCATATAGAAAATCGCATTTGTTTACATCTTGATATTAATATAGACACTGTAGATAATGTAGAGAATAGCAGAATATAGATTATTATACACAGATGACTGATTCCAGCGTGACTTTTGAACAATAGCAGAGTGGAGAAGCCACAAAATTAGCTATTTGTTTGCTATCAGTCTGTAAGTTATACCATATAAATGGACTAGTTGCACTATTTAGCCCACTGCCTTCTATACCACTTAGGGTATTAAAGTAATTTCAGTGCCCGCTGTAGTATACTTCTAAAGGGTGTCTCATGATTAACGTAAGATTTGTATTTGCCGCCGTATTTGCAGTAGATTGTAGGCAGCCCTGGAAAAAGAGCAGTTTGACAGCTGAGAGGTTAGGGTTAGTAAAAGTGGAGCGTTATATGATACAACAACGTGTTTTCTTTATTCAGAAATATTTCAAAAACAATGAAAGTTTAGCGTCTGCAGTTCAAAATTTTTTTACAAAATATGGTCGGAATAGTGTGTTAACCTCGCCAACTGTGAAAGGAGCCTTATAGACAATGAATACAACATCTCAATCAAATTTTTTGGTAACAATTTCTTGCAAACTTTTCATACTGTCAAAGGCAAACAACTAAAAGCTTATGCAATCTTCACGACGTGATGGTTCTTTTTTTTCTGTATTTTACAAATTTCCGTTCTTACATTCATCTAGAGAACATTTTATACAAATTCACTCCATCGCCGTTTCCTTATCTTGGGGGCCGATAACGACCAGGCGTAAGCCCGTTGGATTAGCGACAGCGGCGTTTCTGATGTAGACGCAATGCGGCACTTTTTGCTGGCTTATCTTTGATAAGAAGCAGGAATCGCCTCTATCGCACCTGACTCTCGGTCTACAAAACTGAACGATGCTTGTTTAAACGAAAATGATGTGTAAAGTTAAGCCGGAAGGAGAACGACAAAAATGGGGTGCAGAAATCCGTGCCATAGTAAGGATACTTTGCCCTGAGGAGCTCACAGAAGGTTCTTGATAATATTCTGGATCAAGAAAGAGAAATTGGAGTTTTTGAAGCAGCCAAATTATTATTATTTTTTTAGTTGTAAAGTGGTTAGGGTTAAGCTCCCTATCAGTTACCGCACAGCCTTAAGTCTCCACCCAGGTCCAAATTGCTAATTAACTTTGATTTCCTTTGGACTATGCTTCTGCGTTCTCTTCTGTTTTGAGCTTGAAGTAGGCTCTGTTATCACTGAGGTTGAATAATTGGCAATAGCACATTTGTGAAAGTGTACCTGCGCCCAAAACTTTCTGAAGAGCAGGAGGTAACCAATTTTCTCAGGGGCGCTAAATCCCAGAAGTTCTCAAAACCCTTCATAAATCCATGCACTCCTGATGGGAAATAATAGTTTAGTATACGACATAAAATCATCTCTAAAACCTGTGTAACAGACAGAGAGCTACACAAAGAGCAACATGTATCCCAGGAAATACTGAAAAGAGGTTTAAATGAGTCCAAAAAATCGAAAGAAGCTAACTTCTATGTTACTCGATTGAAATGCAACTCAAATTAAATTGAAGTGACCTCGCTATGTTGTTTTCTAATTGCTCTAAAAAGATTTTGTGGTATTTGCTATTATAAAATCGAGTTAAATTCTAAAAGCTTATTTTTATAAAATGGTAGTTCTTCTTCATGCGTGCAACAACAAAGAAGTGAGTGATCCTAGAATTCGCTAAAAACGTTAAGGATTTTTTCGCGAGTCCACGGTGTAGCACAGTGCACTACCGGGAACAGATGCTCAAATTTTCGCGAAGAACGGGAATATTGGAAGACGGATGTGACGTCGTCCGAATGTCAAAAAATCACGTGGTACGGGTACCCGCCTAACGTCTGTGAGGTACTAGCGGGTGACAGGTCTTATGTTAATGTCATTTAAAAAACAGGCATCTCAATTGAAAATTTGTCTTCGCAGTACTGAAAATTGAGTTAAATTATTAAATCGTAAATGGAGGAACACGTCCACCTAATTTTAAATGACGAGGGAGAAGGTCATCGAAGATATATGAACCGCACTTGTAATATCAAATGATTGATTTTATTAATATATATGTACATTGCACAAAAAACGATCGGTCTTTTTATTTCAGATCCAAACAAGGCAGCTAAGTTTATCAAGGAGCTTAAAGCAAACATTTTGCGTAACATGCGCCATCTGACCACTCCCGGTGTAACTTGAAACTGTCAAAACTTCGAGAGGAAGGGGAAATTCCATCTGTTCCCGCTCCGGATCACCATGGGATATCTTATTGTCATAATAGTAGAAATCATTTAATGTAGGAGGCAAGTACATTGATATGCAAGAAATTGAAACGTGTAAATTTTGCAAAAAGACGGTATCTGATGATGATGATGATGAAGAAGGACTCTTCTGTGGTAAGTGTGTGATGTGGAGGCATCGGACTTGTCTTTCAATTGTGCTGAAATCTTACCAAAAGTTAAGCAAGTCCGTTGATCCGTGGCTCTGTGAAAGCTGCAAGATGAAAAACACAAGAACGGACGCAAGAAGAGCGAAACATGAGGGTGATGCAAGTTCAGGCTTCTGGTTCTTCTTATACCTCTGCTGATGTGGTGGAAACTGGAGGAGATGGACAGAAAATATAATCAGTTGTTTGAAAAGTATAATGAGCAAGCTGCTTTAAGCAATGATTTGAGGCAGGAAGTATTACACATAAAGAATCATCTTAAAATAAGTGAGCAAAAAGAATTGAATATTGAAAATTGGAAATCAGTTGCAAGTACCAATAATTGTAGATGGGATTGTTACAGCTTTATGAGTGGAAAAGGTGAACAGTGAGAAGAAGCCAATCAAGGTTATTTTCCACAAGGAAGAAATAAAAACAAAAATGTTAACATCAAAGTTGAAGTCTGGACTAAATGCTCAAAATATAGGATTTAAAACAAATAGTAACTTTTTTGTAAATCATGACTTAACAAAGCGAAACCTGGAACGATTTAAGGGTGTACAAACATTTAAGATATTGTTGAGGAAATCGGAGAACAATACTAGTAGAAGATGAAATACACCTAAAAAGCTAGTGCATAAAAAGTTAAATATAACTTGCATGAACATTTAAAGCCTGCGTAATCATTAGATGGAAGTGCAGTGTTATACGATACAAAGTGCGTTTCATATTTTACTACTGGTTGAAGCTGGGCAGCAGCGGTGGCCGCAGTAGTAGACTCTTCGGTCTGCTGATCAGTCGCCGTGCGCTGTGCGGGTTCGAGTCCCGTCCCAGGAGAAATTTTTCTCTTGGCTATGGATGTTGTGATTGTAGGTAGTAGACGGTCTCTGACTATCGAACGCGGAGGTACCACCCGGCGGATCTTGTAGGCGGAGCCAGAATGTGTGCATGTTGCATGCACACATTCGCAGTAGTAGACTCTTCGGTCTGCTGATCAGTCGCCGTGATGCCAAACTAGGCTTAATCTATACCCCCCCTTACCCCCCCTCCCCCCCTCATTTGAAAATGATTAATTTCTTGACTGTTTGGAAAATGTTGTCAGGATGCCCAAAACGTCACATTATTGGGGTGACTTTAATATCAATTTACAAAATACGCAAAACGACCTAGTTCAAAGTTACAAGGATACTATAAGCATGTACAATTATAACATCTGCAAT